CGGCTTGGGGGGGGCAACATGGGCGGCTTCAGCTGCAGCACGGCCGATGTTCTTTCGTGCATCATGCATGTCATTAGCAAAGGCTGTGTCCGCCGCAATGAGGACAATCTACACATTGTGGAGTTTGTTCCTGAGGACCCGTCCACGCCTCAGAAGGGCCAGGCCCAGTTCTCCTTCAGCCACACCGATATAAGGAAAAACTCGAATGCAAACGAGCCCCACGCTGACATCAGGTTTGTTATATTTCAGGAAACGCTGTTTAAGAACGTTTTTTTTCTGTCTTTTAAAAATAATGTAAATGTTCCTTTAAAGCCCACTGTCTCAGTGTCAGTTTGAGGATGGTGTTCTGGACACCATTCTCTTCTCCATGGGCCGCACCATGACGCCTGAGGAGGTGCGTCAGCTGATGCAGACGACGGTCCAGCAGGTGGTACTTTCAATACTTTTTATTTAAAATATGAACCAGAATCCCCTTATCAGCGCCCTCTTGTGGTGTACCAAGGTACCAAGGAGATGATGTGAGTCTGTTTTTTGGTTTTCTCTCTGGTTAAAAGGTTTCTGGGACTCTGAGTCTGGATGTGGACCAAACTGAGCACCTGCTGCTTCACTGCAAGTGGAATGTTGACCTGCTCGTCCAGCGCTACACCGACGACCCTGAGACTCTCATTGTGGCCGCCGGCCTCAAAAGTCGCAACCCTCCCCCACCCCCAAGCCCTGCCTCCACCTGTCCTGTCTGCCTGAGTCCCTGCAACAACAACCCCTTCACCGGGGCAGAGCCGGTGCCCCTGCTGAGCTGCATGCACTACTGCTGCAGGGTGAGACTGCAGCCGCGTGTCCATTCTTTTTGTTGTAGAAATTACCTTTATTACCTAATTTTTATATGATTTTCTTTTGCTGTGTACAGTAATGTGAGCTGCAAAACACTAAATCTGAATCTCTGTGTTGTAGTTGTGTTGGCAGAAATACCTGACGGCCAGGATCGAGCAGAATCTGGTGATGAACTGTAACTGTCCAATCACAGACTGTCAGGCTCAGCCTACATCTCGGTTCTTCCTCAACATCCTGACAGATAAGGACACTATTGCCAAGGTAACCATCTCTGTTCCCATGACAACACAGTACTTTGATCACCTTCCAGTCTAATGTTGTTGTTTCACTCTTGTCATCACAAATCTTTCACCGCTGTGATTACGTTTCATCAAACCATTGTTGTTGTTTTGGAGTTGCTCTGACATGACTGATGGTCAACGGTGTTTTTTTTCTTTGCTGTTCTGTCTCTTAGTACGAGAGTGCCCTCCTCAGGGTGTACGTGGAGTGCTGCTCTAACCTAACATGGTGCACCAACCCTCAGGGCTGTGATCAGATCCTTTGTAAGGAGAACATGGGCAGCATGGGAACCTGCTCCAAGTGCTGCTGGTCGTCCTGCTTCAGCTGCAACTTCCCTGAGGTCAGCAGGCTCCATACAAATCACAGACTCTGACTGTTCAAACTGACAACACAGAGTGTATCATGAGGTCTTGAGAACGTTCTGCCTCCTATTTGAAGGAGTCCTGACCTGTTTAGTTTGAAGCGATGTATCATGAGGTCTTGAGAATGTTCTGCCTCCTATTTGAAGGAGCGCAAAGAATTGTAGGAACATTCTCTTCCACTGAGAACAACGTAAATGCACTGTTGCTTTTGATTAGGTCTCCAGTGGGACCAGCTGAGTCCTGACCTGTTTAGTTTGAAGCGACGTTAACATTTTTTTGTTCATGTCATCACCATGTCACCGACTGCTGTCTCTTCAGGCCCACTACCCTGCCAGCTGTAGTCACATGTCTCAGTGGATGGATGATGGAGGTTTCTACGAAGGCATGACAGTGGAGGCCCAAAGCAAACATCTGGCCAAGCTCATCTCCAAGCGCTGCCCCAGTTGTCAGGCCCAGATTGAGAAGAACGAGGGCTGCCTGCAGTACGTAACGACTTTTTTTTCTTCAAGCAGCAGAATGACGATGACGACGATGATGATGATGATGATGATGATGATGATGATGATGATGATGATGATGATGATGGTGATGGTTATAGTCTTCCTTTCTCCTCAGTATGACCTGTGCCAAATGTAACCATGGATTTTGTTGGCGATGCCTGAAACCATGGAAACCAACACACAAGGACTATTACAACTGCTCTGCCATGGTAACATGATCACAGGACTTCAAATACGATTGTATATAAGTACATGTATGTGCATATCTGTGTATTTTTGTCTATATTGTGTGATTGCAGGTTAGCAAAGCAGCTCGTCAGGAGAAGAAGTTCCAGGATTACAACGAGCGGTGCACCTTCCATCATCAGGCAAAGGTACTGGCCTTCTTTTTCCTTTTGTCCCTAATCATTTTAATTCATGTTTTTCTTTTTGTAACATCACATATTTGGTCATAAAAACTTTCTGCATGGTCTGTTGACATGTGTCTTTAACTTCTTCAGGACTTTGCAATTAACCTTGAAAACAAGGTTTCATCCATTAACGAAGCTCTGCAGATGAAGTCACTGACCTTCGTCATCGACGCCTGCAAAATCCTGGCTCAAGCTCGGAAGGTAAGTCCACCGTCGCTCCCCTCGTCATCGTCTTTGTCATGGTTGTTTTGGTGTCTTCATTGTTTGTCCTCTGCTGCCCCACACAGGTGCTCGCCTACTCCTGCGTCTACAGTTACTACAACCAGGAGACTGAGAAGATGGATGTGATGGAGCAGCAGACGGAGGCGCTGGACCTCCACACCAACGCACTGCAGATCCTGCTCGGTGAGCTTTATCTCCATTATCATCAACAGCAGGTGTGGGTAATTTTGCATGTGTCCACTAAACTGTCCTCTGGTTGTCCTTAGAGGAGACGCTGCTGCAGTGCACTGACCTTGCCTCCTGTGTCCGCCTGCTGAAACCAGAACATCTAAACACTGGACTGGAGCTTATCCGACGCATCAAGGAGCGACTCCTCGCCATCCTGCAGCATTCCACCCAGGTTTGAATCCACGAATTGATTTAAACCAGTTTCTTAAAAGAATGTTTTAACCTGTGAGCACAGAAAATAAACCTAGTTTTTGGCCTGATCCTGTCTCTGTTCTTTTCAGGACTTCCGTGTAGGTTATCAGTCTAGCAGCAATCAGGAACCTGCATCAAATCAGGCATCCAACCTATCCAACCTCAGCAACGTCAACACCAAGTTAGTGTGACGTCACCTGTTGGACGACGGGATGGTGAGAAGGCGTGAGTGAGTGAGTGACTTTCTGTACTTATTTGTTCCTTAGGTCGAAGACTGGCCGTGGGTCAGACTCTGGAGACTCGGACAACAACAACTACGCTGGTGAGGAAGGTGGAGATGAGGCAGAGGAAGAAGATGACGAGTATGATGAAGAGTATGTCCCTGAGTGGCACGAGGACTATGACGAGGATGACATCGACGAAGATGACTTCTTCTCTGATGAATCTGAGAACTTGGAGCACTACAGTCCAGTTTTGTGACGTGGAGGGAAACTTCAGTCTTCTGGTCCTAAGTGGAAGAGTGGGGCAAATAGGACCCCTGTGATGGCCCCGCCCCCTTCTTACTACCATTTGACACCACCTAAAAATGTCAGGCTTGAGCGGAGGCATTCGGTGGAATGTCCTCCTTCACCTGAATCCCTGAACACCGCCCCCTTCGCTGCTGCACTTGCTTTTCAGCTCTGTATTTTATCTTCTCTTGATTAAAGACATCAGAGTAGGGAGGAGGACATGTGTCACGTGACGCGAACCAGTTTGAGGAAAAACGGTTGTTAATCAGTTGAGAATTCTTCCGACGTTATTTCTGTCTGCCAAAAGCTGTGCTAACACAGTCATGAACGATCTCACACCAACATAAAGACCAACTCACACTAGTTACAACTGGTCTGATCCAATTGTAAAACGGATTTAAAATTTAGCACTCTCACACTCACAAACCTTTTAAACTAGTCCGTCTTTGTCTAGTTTATCTTGTCAATATAAACCCAATTAACATTATTAGAAACTTGAGCCACGAAAATTAAACGGGATTCACAAGCCAAAGAAAAATACATTGGTTTCCAGATTTAATCTCAATAATGAAAACCGTTTTACAATCTCCTAGCTTTACAGGTATATGAAGCTAACTTTATGAATGGTATGAACCCCGACGACTTGGTCTGAAAACACTACAACAGTTTAAACAGAACTGTTAAAACGTAAGCCACATTGACATTAGTTTGAAGACAGGTTTGGATTTACTCCAAATTCAAAAGTCAGCACACATTAAAAAAAAAAAAAAAGACACCTTTTCTGTAATAATAAATTTAGATTTTAAATTTGGACTTTTCTGGTCCCCACTTTTTTTTTGTTTAGTTGTGTTAGTTCCTGGTGTCTCTAACTCACTGACTTACCCTCACTCTTTTCTGGTTCTGCCCCTGGTTCTAGCCATGCCAGGTCAATTTTGTTAGTATGCTTTGTTGCAGGGTAAAAGATCCTTGGTTCAGTTTGAGCGTTCAGTGGTGCAGGTGATGACATCATGCTTCAGTATAAAGAAAACAATTTTTTTGTTCCATGATGTTTGAAGTTGAGGTCAGGTGTTTCTGAACTGGAGATGCATCACTCCAATAACTGATCGCTGATCAAGTGCTGAGTGGCTGTGCTCTCTTTGTAATTTTTGAGAGAACGTAGAGATTCATATGCTGTTAGTTGTCTACATTGTTTCTTCAGAGTCAAGCGACTCCTCACAGAAAAGTCAATAAAAGCTTTGTTTCTGCTCGACTCTGATTTCACCCAAATGTTCTGAATTTCAAGATAAACCAATGATGAAAAGAACAACTGTGTAAGCATTTACAGAATTTAGAAAAAATATTTTTTTTGCGTTATTGTAATATTGTAATGACTACATGTGTAACTGTCATAAATGATTATAACTACATTAAAAAAGTAGTTTTTGGATCATGTACAAACATGTCGACACAACAATGTCTTTTCTCTTGATAAACATTTTCTCAATTTTTATTTATTATAGGATAGTAAATTACCTATTATGTAAACTGACCACCATTGGCTATATTAGAAAATAATTAAATCATAATTTCATTTAATGTAATACTAATTTAAGGCTAACTATTAAGACAATGTTTACAGCTTTTAATGTCAATGTAATAATAATAATTGTGATACCTTAATACATATGTATATTTGCAGTATCATTTGTGTTTAAAACCAAATCCCGAATAACAACCGTACAGGAAAACAAAACGGCATAAGATATACGGGCCGCTGTAGTTGCAAATCACTGCCTAGTCGTGGCGGTAATGCGGTCGAACGCACATTGTTTTCACTGTTAAACCGGAAACAGGAAGTAGTCGAACGCTACTCAGCGTCGTTGTTAAAGTTTATGTTATAACATGAGCTTTAAAGATGAATTTGTTTGCGTTTTTAGATCGAATTAAGGCCGACGTGGAAAATAATGAGTTTAAGCAGAAAGATGGACTGTCTGTAATTATTTAGACGTCAACAGCAGTAGCTATTTAGTCTTTTCGCAAGACAACCACTAAAATCTGAGTCGCAATGGGACGAGGAAAGGGTCGGGGCAAAGTTGGACCTCCGATGGGTCCTCCAGGGGAAGAAGTTCCACCCTTTCACATAGGCCCATATGGTTGGGGGCCTCCCCCACCTGGAGGCTGGGGCCATATCCCTCCTAATGACTGGCCTCCACCACCTGACTGGGGACCACCTCCTGCGGGAGAATGGAGACCTCCACTGCCAGGTAGATGGGGTCCGACACCAGATGATTGGGATCCACGAGGGCCTCCCCCTCCTGGCTGGGGACCCAGAGGGCCTCCACCACCGGACTGGGGGCATCATCCTGATGACTGGCTGCCTCCTCCTGATGATTGGCATCACTATCCAGATGAATGGAGAATTCGACACGAGGATGAATGGAGGCGCCGATATGAGGATGAATGGAGGAGGCGATATGAGGAGGATTGGGGACCTAACGTGCCCCCTCCACCACATGGCTGGGGGCCTCCAGGATGGGGCCCTGAGCCCGGTCCGCCTATTCCACCCCCAGTTGTCCCTCCTCCTGTAATCCCCCCCCCTCCTGTAGGGATACCTCCTCCAGATCCTGTGGCCTTACCACCACCAGTCTTCCCTCCAGTATACCCTCCATTTGGGTTTCAAGCGGCTCCTCCAAATTGGACTGGAGAGGTGAGGAATTAGTACTTATCTTTCTGGTCCCGTAAAATCATGTAACATGATCTGAACACGTGATCAGATCCATTTTCCACAAACTCTTGAAACATAAACCAAATATATATTCTTAATTATAGATGTATCAACAGGAAATATGTAGGTGAAAAGCATTTAAGTCTAAAAACATTCTTTTTCTTAATGATTTTTAGACACTCTGCCAAGAACAAATGCCCAACCCGCCTCCAGACCAGCCTGAGTGGGTTAGTACAGACCTAAGATGAATGGGTGGAAAAGACGGTGCACTCGCATTCTTCTTTCTTCATGTTTTTTTTTTCTTGTTTGTTTGTTTTTTACCATTTCAGATCAAGGCATTGATTTCCGCTCCAATAACAAATTCCACTTCAGATGAAACTTCCAATGAGAAGACAGATGCAGCCAAAGCTCCTGTTGCAGAACCTGAAGCCACACCAAAACCTAAACCTGAATCCAGCAGTGTTGCTAAAGCACTAGGCCTACTAGGAAAACGCAAGTTGGAGAAGTGAGTCTTCATTAGTGAGAAAGTGAACGTTCAAATAGGAGATGATCACGAGAGGATGAAAACTTTTCTTGTGTTTGTCCTCAGGCCTCCACCGGGTGATGAAAACTTTTCTTGTGTTTGTGTTTGTCCTCAGGCCTCCACCGGGCAGGTCCACTGGGACCATCTCTTTTATTGGGGTAGGAAACACCAACACCACTGTTTTTTTTTAGTGATGACATTGATTTACATTTATTCGTACGGTCAGTGAGTAAATTTTATTTTGACCAAACTGCAATCCACATCTTCATCTAACTTTATATAAAGCCTTAAAAAGATCTTTATATTTTTGTGCCATTGAGAATTATTAGATCTAGGAAAAGCGGTAACAATTTTAGAAATGCATCAACATTATTGTATTTGTCTTTTTCTATTTCTATTATTCTGAACAGCCAAAATTTGGCTACATAGAGGGAGAAGACATGGAAAAATTTACTTTCAGCTTTGACGCCTTCTTTGGGAACCCCAAAGCCATGATACCTGGGGTCAAAGTTCACTTTACCAGCTGCACTGACAAGGTAAGATAAATGGTACCAAGTGTCTGGCAAGAATTGTGATTTTTATAGTGATAATAATCATAATACACTTGAATAGACAGGCTTAGATAATAATGATATTTCAGAATTGATGTATTTCTCACAATGATTTTTATCATTTTGGTGCTGTAACGTTTTTGTTTTATTCTGGCAATATTTCAGCCTGTTTAATATTCTTTATGTATATCTCATATTATTTGATAACTGCATTTTTATGTTTTTTTTTTTATATATTATTTTCAAACCTTAAGTTGTTTAAGTGATTAGGTTCAGAGATTGTTGATATATTCTTTTCAAACTTTAAGTGATTAGGTTCAGAGATTGTTGATTCATTTTATTTTGTATTAATGTTTCACCTTTTACCATTTTACCATGGGAGGTGATTTTCTATTGTGTTCTTTACTTTAATGATTTCACTAAATTGAAATGTAATTAATATTTAAATTCCTCTTGCTCATAACAGCAGGACACCCAGATTGCAACAGATGTTAAAGTGGCTCCCGGTGGGACAGAGAATGTGGACGAAGAGATTTATGAGGCTGTTGTCAGTCAGCCAATCACAGATGCAGGGGTCGGTGGTACATTTTTTGTTACTTATGTTGTTGGCAGACTGTTGTTGGCAGAAAAACTATAGAAACATTTTTTTTCTTTGTGCAGCCTGGCAAACGTCAGTACCCAGGTCAGGTCCACGTGAACCTGCGGCCCTTGCGGACCAACCTGACCTTTGAGAAGAAGGACAGCTCAGTGACACTGCTGAAAGATGACCAGGTTCTGATCAATGTTCTCACCGACATTGTGACAGAGAAGAAACGAGCTACTAACATCAAACTCAAAATCCCTGCAACCTTCGACCACACACAGGAGACACGTGAGAAGGTCTGACAATATTTCCAACTGTATAACCACAAACCTTCAAACATAAAAAGAATTGTGGTAGGCTATGTTTTTTTAATTTTATCATCTAAGGACCTTGTCATTTTTTCTTTTTTTTTTGCAGGGTAGAAAAAGGTTGTTCCCAAACGTTTCCTAATTTTGCTTGTACTTTTGCCTCAGGGTTTAATTATCAGCCTGCAGGGAGAAAAGGGCGTAATCAAGTCAGAAAACCACGGCGAACTTCCCTTCGAGATCCAGGAAAATTTGAGCGATGTGGATTTCACAGCAGAGGATGTAAACGAGGAGGTGGAGTTTACGGTCTTGGACGTGAGCAGCTCCTCTTTTGACATTTTCTTCTTGATAAATTCATTTTTTGTGCCTTATTTGACCTCTTTACTTCTTTTATTTAATGTCAGCTATCAAATGTTAAAGTGGCCATCAGGATCAAGAGAGTGAAGGAGCCACTGCTCCTAATGCTGGAGCCCACTCCCACCAAAGTAGAGACGGAGAAATCCAATAAAGACAGCAACTTGCTAAACAACACAGGGAAAAATGCAAAGAGCAAAATGGAAGTTCCATCCAACATGGTGTTGGATGAGGAGCTGTACGAGGGCATTGTCAGCCAGCCAATCATTGAGCCCACAGTAAGTGAAGTCCTCAGGTATACTGTCGTTTTGTAAGAGCTGCCTTTCAGAATTCACCACAGTCAGTAATCCACGTTACACCTGAGTAACTGCTGCTTTTCTGACAACAAGTCAACAACACAGGGATACCGAGGGCAGATCAACGCCAACATAGGGCCGCTCAGAACCAACGTGACGTTTCACCACCAAGACAGCAGTGTGACACTCCTGAGGAACGACCATGTTCTGATTAACCTGCTGATTGACACCACGACACAGAGGAGGAGAGCAGCAAACATCAAACCCAAAGTTCCGTTCACATTCTCCTACACGCAGGAGAAAAGAGAGACGGTATGGAATTCAAACGTTCAAGCCGCTCCTTAACTCTTGACTGTTAACATTTATTTAATCACTCACTGTACGGAACTGGTTTCAGGGCACCATCACCTCCCTTGGTCCACTAGAGGGCCTAATCGTGTCAGAAGCCCATGGTAAAATCCCCTTCAAAGTCACCGACAACTTCAGTGACACAGAATTCGATGTGAATGACATCAACCAGCAGGTGGAGTTTACTACAGCAATAGTAAGTCCTCTACTGTACCATATGTAAAGATATAGAGTTCATGTAAGAGTTTGCCCAGATCAACTCAGACCTGATCAGACGAACACTGATGCGTGATGCCTCCAATGTGTGTGCAGGTACAATCAAAAAGGCAAGCGATCAGGTTGAGAAGAATGAAATGTGTGGAGGACAAAATCCTCACAGAGCAAAAGAAACGGCTGGAGGAGGAGAAAAAGAAGAAATTGCAGCTGGAGGAGAAAAAGAAAAGGATGGAGGAGGAGTCAGATGAGACGAAGAAGAAGGAGGGTGTAGTAGCAGCACTGGCTGCTGCCAAAGACAAGGTAAGAGCAAGGGAAAAGTTGGATTTTTTTTTCTTTTGTGGATGTTAACTATTAACTAAAACGGTAATTCACTTCCTAACGGGTTTTGGTTAAAAGAATAGTCAGGTATAAAAAGAGTATCGATGAACTGTCCATGTTTGAGAATATTTTGGTGGTGCTCTTCAGTGGACACCACTGGGCTTCACAGTGACTGACCCTTGCACACTGGAAGAAGTCAGTAAGGAGCGATTTGTGGGCACCATCCTGAAGGCAATTCCCAAAAATCCTTGCATGGCGGTCAAGAAAGAGGAGCCAGACAAGGGAGGGGGTGGAGCTTCTGATGATGGACAGATTCTTCTCGACAAGGTAAAAAAAAAGGTCCTGGTATTTTTTCATGTTTATTTCTTCTGGTCCTTCTCAACTTGGTTTTTCTTCATCTTCAGGTGAAAATGGAGAAAACGGATAACAAGGAGGAGGAAGAAAAACCTGAAGCTGTGGAGAAAAAGGAGGTTAAGAATGTCGAGGAAGTGAAGTATAGTGAGGAACAGAAGGACTTAAAGAACAGTGAGGAGAAGCCTGTCGCAGTTGGAGGCAGAGGCAAAACAGACACTGAGATTGGTCGACTGGTGATGACCGTTGACGGTCAACAGAAGCAGCTTTTCTTTGGCCGTAAAGATCTGCTAACCACCGCCACCATGCTGGATGGAGACAAGGTGAGAAGGACTGTTAACCAGCAGCCCCTTGGGACTAAGAGCTGATTCAGGACACAACCTCAGACACAGTCCTAGTACCTACTGGAGGAGGATCAGTACAACATGGCACCAGTTCTTACTGACGGAGAAAAATTGGAATCACAAATTTTGATAAATGTTTTTTCTTTGTCTGTTTGAGGTGCGTTTCAACATTGCCACCAATCCCGAGACCAAAGAGGAACGCGCAACCTACGTGGAAATTCTCACGGACTCTTTTGAAGAGTCCACAGAACAGCGGAGACATGTGAGACGGCTAAAAAACTACATTTAAACTCCTTTTCAAATTTCTGTATTTAAAAACTAAACACTCTGCTTCTCTGTGGTGTGATTTTTGTTTTTTTTTTCACCAGGGCATTGTGATTGAGTTCTCAGTTGTCTCAGGGCTCATCAAGTGCACTCAGAACCCACAGCTGTTCTTCTACATGTCAGAAGTGATCGAGAAGAAGCCGCTCGAGTTAAATGAAAAGGTGGAGTTCAGTGTTGTCCCGGTGAGTCACTGTTGTGTCTGCCCTAGAGGTCTAGACCAGACCATATCACAGAGACTTACAGTGAAGCAGCATTAACACGAAGGGAAATGTAACCCAGTACTGCTCTAGTAACTAGAGATAAAGAATACTAGGTCTCTGCGTCTGCTAGGTGATAATGTCTGATGGAAATAAGTGTGGTGACAGCTTGTAACTGAATGTGGACACGTGTGCTGTGTTAAAGTGTCAGGACTCGCATTGAATCAAACTCCTGTCCAACGTGTCTTAACGCTAATCAACAATGATGTAAAAATGTGTGTATACTCCAGACTGATCTAGAAGTTTCTGCAAGTTCTCATTTGGAATCAGGTTCAATGTCTTCTCAAAAATGTACAGATCTGTTTTTCTTTGTGTGTCCAAGCATGAGATGGCAGAGGGCGGAGCCCAGGCCATCAGAATCAAACGTTTCACTGAAAAGGTTTTTCTTCCTGCCCGGAAACTTGGCAAAGCAGGGGTAAACAAAGGAAAGGTAAAAAAGACTTCTTACTTTGCTTTAAATGTTTTATTATTTTTATACTGATGATTTTTTTAATATGTTTATTGTAGATGACCATAAAACTGACCAAACCTTCAGATGACACTGGGTGAGTTAAAAATGCCACCTGATAAGGTGGCATTTTTAAGATATTTAAAGATGGTTCAAAAGGCTCACCTGATTTTTTTTTAAATAAGATATTTAAAGATGGTTCAAAAGGCTTTTACACATTAAATATAACAGAAATAACTTTACCATTTAGTGTTGAAGTTTCTGGTATGATTTATTGTGTAAGGCAGAGACTATTTAACTAGTTATTGATCGTCATCATGATGAAATATTACCTCTACCCAAACTGGCAGCAGTTTAGATGTCATAACTGCTGTAGCAGTTCAAGTTCTGGGTGTTTTTCATCATGGTTGTAACTGTACTGCAATTCTTGGTTACACACAAAAAAAATCACATGTAAACATTGTACCATCAACAACTTTTCATTTTTAAAAAGGTTTTTTCATTATTCGTGTTTGGTTCTGACAAATGTTTTTAACAAATTCATATTTCATCCCATGTCAGGAGGGAGAGTGATAAGCTAAAAGCGGTAGTTAAAAGTCTTAGAGCCCAGGAAAGCAAACGGGACCACAGGTCTCCCCAACACAAAAGGAGTCAGAGCAGAAGCAGGAGCAGGAGCAGGAGTAGGAGCAGGAGCAGGAGCAGAAGCAGGAGCAGGAGTAGGAGCAGGAGCAGGAGCAGGAGTCGGAGTCCAAAACAAGACCAATTTGGCCGAGTCAGAAGGAAACGCAGCCCCAGCCTCAACCGTGACCACAGGAGCAACAGGTACAGACGCAGTAGAGAGAGGCAGCACCGGCGTAGCAGAAGTCGATCCAAAAGTCGAAGTAGGAGCTCCAGCAGAAGTCGCAGCAGGAGTCGAAGTAGGGACAGGTCGAAAAGGAGGACCAAAGATTATGTGGAGAGACATAAAAGGAAGAGAGAGCCAAGTCCTTCTCACAGACGTGGAGTCTTTGATGACGAACTGACGAGGAAGAAGCGTGAGTTGGAAGAGCTGAACGAGATGATCGCCTACAAAAAGTCTCTAGTGGATGTAAATCCCAGAGGACTGGAACCTGGGCAGAGGACCTGCATTGATTATGACCATGGCAGGATTAACATGCCTGTCCGATCCATCCTGAAGAAAAGACCTGAGGGACCTGAGTACCAACATCCGACACCCTACAGTAATCTTTACTATGATGCACCGTATAGTCAGTACAAAGATTGGCAGTTCAGCGACCGATATGGTGATCCATACACCCGCCTTCGTTACGACCGTCCTTATGGTGAGCGACCATATGATGATCGTCCTCTTGAAGGTGCATCGTATGGTAAACCTCCTTATGGTGGAGCCTCTCAGCCTGGTAGCAGTCGCTACACTGATCGCTACGATGTTTACGATGACCCTTACGAAGACCGACCATATCAGGATGTTGCTTATCCTGCAAGAATGTCGCATTCTCCAGATCCCCGTCATCCATCCCCTACAGCAGAGTCTGCTGCCACAACTAAACCTCATTCTTCTGCTACTTCATTTCCCCAAACCTATGAACCTCCTTCTCTCTCTAAATCTCCTCCTCGAAGCCCCTCTCCGGAACGAAAGCCGCATCGTCTATCCGCTCTAGATGAAAAACCCCCTTTGGACCGTTTTCTGGATATGTTGAATAAAAAAGACAATCTTACAAAAAAATTAGAACCGCCTGCTGTTACTGATGACCTGTTGCCTCATGAACGGGCGTTACAAGAAGGTGGAGGGTTTTCTTGCATTCTGGGATTGGCTCAAGAGCAACCAACTAGAGCTCAAGAAGAGGAAGAGAAAAAAATCAGCCCCAAAGGTTCCTCTGTGGAAACAACAAGTGATGATCCTAATAGCAACAAAGAACCCTATGACAAGATCCAGAGTTTGCTACGATCAATTGGCCTAAAGTTGAGCTCAGTAGACATGTCTAAACTGGCGAGCCAGGCACAAGAAAAAATATACAGCCAGAAGTCCTCATCCACAGAAAGAGAAACATCTATAAAAAGGGAACATAAAAAGAGTAGAGCCGGTTCATTTGAGTCTGATAGCATTCCTAACTCCTCTTCTACCAGGTCCTCTAGTGTAGACTCACTTGTGAAACCAAAAGCATTCTCGGACTATGAAGGGTTCCTGAACCAGCAGGAGCTGGAGACACTAATGAAGGCACAGCATCTTCAGAGTCTCACCAAAAAAATGGAGGGTACCTCCCCTTGTGCCACAGTTCCAAAACCACCACCTGCTCAGTACGTTCATCCACCCTCGTCTTTTAACTGGCCCCTAGGA